CTTTGAGAAAGCTATGATATTGAGATAGGTTGGAGAATGATGCCTGGAGACAACACTCAGATGTCGGTGTTGACTGTTCCTGATCTGGAGGAAGATGGATGGACTACTGATGGATAAATATCATTTTTTTTATGAGTTGATTATTTTTCAAAAAGAAAATTCAATATTGGGGTGATGTTGGTATGATTTATGAATCAAAGGGGGGAATAGGTTTATGTGATTCATGCATCATTTATATATCAGTTTATATTCTTAGTTGATATTCATGTTTAATTTGAAAGGGTTGTTTTGCAAAAGATACTGTTTGGTCGTTTCTTTTCTTTTCATTCCAGAAGCATTTGGGAGAACATGTGGAGATTGAAATACTCAAACAAAGACAATATGAAGGGACAATATGACTGGAGGAGATGAAACAAGGAGGGTGTGGAAAGATTCTGATTCCATCATCAACGATGCATTGGAAGAGGAGACTACGGAGGAGATGAAGTGTAGTGGACTACATTCCAGTGTCTGCAATGAAATATAGACATGTGTAATACATAATTGTGTCATATTCTTAGGGATTAATTTTTGTAGAATGATGTTTGATGTTATTGAATACATGTGAGGATCTTAGATGTTTTTGTTTATTTCGTGAAGGTTTAGGGACAGAGAGGCTAGGCAGGGAGAGTTTCATTGTCCGGTCCAATGGGTTGACCAGCCGTACAATGGATGTTTATGGATAGGATTTTGTTTGCAGGGGCTTACATGTGTATTTAATTGCATCATAGTTTCAAAATGCATTTACATGGTTTATGAGGTTATCTGGAGTACCGACGGTGGTTGCCTGGGGCAGAGGGACCAAGAGAGAATTTTACTGTCTTGATTGATGGATGGATATCTGAAAAGATGGCTGCCGGACAGTTTTTCGCTCTTACACTCCATAGATTTCTTCATATTTCATAGTAATGTATTCACACTTCATATTTCATAGTAATGTATTTACACTCCATAGAGATTTCTTCATATTTCATAGTAATGTATTTACACTCCATAGAGATTTCTTCATATTTCATAGTAATGTATTTACACTCCATAGAGATTTGTTCATATGTCATAGTAATGTATTCACACTTCATAAACAGTTATTGCATAGAAAGGTATTTACACTCTAGAGAAGAATGTTTTTGGTTTAATGTTAAAGATACTCAATAAGATAAATTGTTACTAGTCATAATCCTATTCTGTTTGTTTTCGAGACGTTTAGTTCGTCTCGAAAGGGGGGAATATAGTATCTGAAGATTATGCCTTTGTTAAATGGTTTTCATGAAGAAATGGAATGTGTTTATGTTAGTATCCAGAGGGAAGGTTTTAGGTGTAACGCCACATCCAGCAGACCGGAAGTGTCTTGGAGACTGGGGATTGGCCAGAAGAGGTCAGCTTCGTTGTTTATAAATAGGGGGGTTAGGCGAGGAAGACGTCAGAACGGCCATGGAAATCAGGGAGCCGTTCTGCGGGTGTCATGTCACCTGTCATTTATGCTGTAATCTCGTGATTTTATTAAAAGCCTCTAACACGATGCAGCATAAAACGGACTCTTTGTTGACAGCAATAATGACCACCATTCATCATATACGACAATAGCATGGTATTTTTTCACTGTAATAGCTACTGTAAATTGGACAGTGCAGTTAGATTGTCAAGAATTTAAGCTTTCTGCCCATATAAGACATGTCTATGTCCTAGAAAGTTTGCTGTTACTTACAACAGTCATGCTAATCACATTAGCACACGTTAGCTCAACCGTCCCGTATATGGGACACCAATCCCGTAGAGGTTAATTGAATTGAATTGAATTGAGAGAGAGAGAGAGAGAGAGAGAGAGAGAGAGAGAGAGAGAGAGAGAGAGAGAGAGAGAGAGAGAGAGAGAGAGAGAGAGAGAGAGAGAGAGAGAGAGAGAGAGAGAGAGAGAGAGGGAGAGGGAGGGAGGGAGGATGGATGAGGTATAAAGAGCCAGAGGGAATTAGCATGTGGTCAAAAGAACTGTAAATTGATCAACTGCATTAAAAGTTAGGAGTGTGAGTTAGGAGTTAGTGTGAGTGATGTTTTCAGGCTAATTGCCTCTCCTTCCAGGGAAGTCCCTCTCAAAGACTAGAGGGGACTGTGACTGTGTGTGTGTTCCAAATGGCACTGTATTTCCTATATAGTGCAAAGTCAAAAGTAGTGCACTATATAGGGAATACGGTGCCATTTGGGACATACTGTGACTGTGTTGGACTTTTTACGCCTGGGAGAGGAAGCTTTTACTATTTTAGCCATCTTTTAGATTTGCTGCTAATTGAGGGAGAAGAAAGAGAGAGAGAGAGAGAGAGAGAGAGAGAGAGAGAGAGAGAGTTTGGATGTAAATGGCTATATATGGAGTCTCCGTTTTCACAACGAGATGTCTTTCTAAGATAGTAAGAAATAAAACAAGATAGTCTAGCCAGAGAGAAAGAAAGAGAAATAGGATATCTGAGAAAGAAACCAGACACATTGCACTGAGAGTATAGCCACTGCAGAAGAAGAGACAGAGAGAAATATATAGCGAAAAGAGAGAGAGAGAAAGAAAGAAAGAAAGAAAGAAAGAAAGAAAGAAAGAAAGAAAGAAAGAAAGAAAGAAAGAAAGAAAGAAAGAAAGAAAGAAAGAAAGAAAGAAAGAAAGAAAGAAAGAAAGAAAGAAAGAGAGAGGGAGAAAGAGAGCATGTCAGAGTGAGAGAATAACCCTCAGTGTATATTTATAGAACACACTAGAGGCAGTGTGGCAGAATCTCCCTCGTTTCCTTCTTGTCTGTGTGTGTGTGGACACACTTTTACCCTAAGAGCAGCACAGAGACACTTGATAGACAGAGCTACAACCATCGATTTGTATCCTCAGAGACCAACCAGCCCAGGGATGTGTCCCAAATGGCACTGTCATGACTCTCCTGACAGTGGATCAAAGGACCCATCAGCTAGGCAAATGTTTGAAGATAGCCAGACCCGCTCTCTCCCACAGAAGAGGGGAAGGGGGGTCTGTGCCGGTCTTGACACCTCAACAATGGGTTGTAAATTTAAGCAGGAGATAACTCTCTCCCTGGCTCACTAGTATTGAGAAAATAATGCCTTTGTCTAGAGAGACAGTTTTGCCGCCAAAACCATTTCCCCTAAAAAGTGAACATTGGAACATTTATTTCTATCATCCGAATGTTAAGAATGGTCATGTCATATTGTTTATTATTTTGTGATGTCATTAAGGATGGTATAATGAAATAACTGTAACTCGGAAAGTGTACACATTCAATTTGTCAAGTTTATATCTAAATGTTGTATAAAATATATGATTAGGTATGAGAGTATTTTGGTGAAGATAGGAATGTGATTTTAGTCTTCTAATGAGATAATTGTTTTTCATATAAACTTTTGCCCAGTCAGTAACCACGCCCCAAGGGAGCACAGACATTGTGTCGGTGTGATGGAACGCCCCCTTTTTACCTTGGTAACAAAATTCACTCAGACCAGGAAGCATGGAGCTGTGGCTACACGGCTTAAAATGGTTAGACCAGAAAGACCAGCAGACGTGAGGTGTGAGCTAAACGTTACAAATGGTTGAAACTCTCAGACCAGAACATTGCCGGGTTGCTACTGGCGTGTAAAATGGTGTGAAACTCTGAAACTCTCAACCTCTACACGAGGTGAAGGAGAAGATAAACACACTAGAACTTAGCATTACCAGTCTGCAGCTTTACATGTAAAGTAGTCTAGAAATTTGACTAAAGACACGAGGTGGGAAGAAAGTAGAATCCCATCTCAGACAACCATTGGTGCATCTGAAGTATTTGTTCTAACAAACACTTCGCTACCAGAGAAGGACATTGTGACCTCTGGTGGACGAGCCTTACACTGAACAGGACACTAAAGCCAACGAAGGATCGATCGAGTCCAACAGAGATAGTCGACGAACAAAGACATCTACACGTAAATGTATACATTGCATTTCTTATTCGAATGGGCAGTGGTTAGGGTGCTAAGTATTCTGATTTCTGTGAGCGTAGTTTCCAAATTATTCAGCGATAAGTTTGAATCTCTCTTTGTCTCTCTCTCTCCCTCTCCCTCTCTCTTTCTGACCCCTCCCTTTTCATAACCAAGAAGTCATGCTGTTGCTAGTCCACTAGGCACCTGTTTCCATTGTATTACGTTTTTAATCAATAACCTATACCGTGTGTGTGTGTATGTATTCTGTGTTATTATTTAGTTAGCTAGTAAATAAATGATTAAGCCAATTTGTGTATTGCTGATTCATAAGTAAGGTTAGGGTTCTTGCAGATATCAAGCAGTATGCGACGTTGAGAATGAGACTGATATGAGGTAATGATTGATAAGTGACTGTTATCTGTTAACTATATATCTTCTAAGAGTTTAATTCGGGAGATGGTAACTTCTTCCGTGGTGCCCCAAATTCCTAATGAGTTAATTGTTACATGACTAATTTAATAAAGTAACAATTAAACATAGTTAGTTGATTCGATAAATAACAGTCATCACATTAATGAAAGTCACGTCATGACAGCACCATATTCCCTATTTAGTGCACTTCTTTCGACGAGGGCCAATAGGGGACGCAGCTCAGGTCTCAGGGAGACAGGGATCCAACCAAACATCCAAACAACCTGTAGGGATACACAGCAAGCTCTCACCTAGGTTCTATGTAACAATTCTCAAGATGTTTTCTCATTCCTGGGGAGAGCGTTCTTGTAAACCTATGTCTCAGTCAAATGTATCAAATGTTTCCCTCAGATTTTCTCTTAGGCGAGTCGCTGAGGCCTACTGAAAAACATGTTATGCCTAAAAGCTTTTGGCGTTGAACAGCAGAGCTAGGCTGCCTCACTTACAGTACTGTAAGCAATGGTTGGAGAAAACTATGTTGGTCACTGTTTTAGTCCATTTAAACAAGCTAGTGAACAATCCCAGTCTACCTAAACCAATCCCTGATCCTTAACCCTGACCCTTGACCGCTGCCCCCTGCCCCTAACCTTCTTCTGCAGGACGTTGATCTTCCTCTCCTTGACCTCCAGCATGTCCTTCATGTCTCGGATCTCTCCGGCCAGCGTACCCTTCTCCTCCGTCAGGTCCTGCAGCTGCTTGCTCTTCTTGTTCAGGAAGGACTCCTTCTCCTCCAAACGCAGGCGCAAGGCATCCACCTGGGAGGGGAGAGGTCACAGGTCAAAGGTACAATGTCACAGTTCAGAGGTCAAATTCAATCAAATGGATTTCATAAAGCCCTTTTTACATTAGCAGTGGTCACAAAGTGAAAACCACCCCAACACCCAGCCCACTGGAGGAAGTTTGTGAATGCTCCCCAAAGAGCAAAAGGGTTTAAGTAAAGTTGTCACAAAGTGCTTTCACAGTAAGCCCGGCCTAAACCATGAAGGGCAAAGTTCAAAGTTCAAAGGTATTATTATTATCATTGTCGAATTGAAGAAGGAGTCCTCACTGAAATACTTGGCATTTACAATACAATGTTCATGCCCCACTAAAGGGTAGAGGGCAAGAGGGGTGTGTGATGCAGAGGACAAGGAGAGGGTGATATAATGTGCCCTTAGATGTGGACCAAAACAGGACAAGGACCAAAATACATGCAGGGGAAAAAACATTTTATTAATGAACCCAACAAGATTCTGCATAATTTAAATGTATATATTTTTTCATCATCCAAGGGTGTATGTAGGCGTGCGTGCGTGTGTGTGTGTATGCATGTGTGCGTGTGTGCTTGTCTGCATATGTGTGTTCATGTGTGTGCATATGTGCAGGCATGCATGTTTGTGTGCGGTGTAGCTACCTCTGTCTGCAGGATGGCAGCGCGCTGCTCCTTGGCAGTGAGAGACTCTTTGAGAACCTCTATATGCTGTTTGCAGTCTGAGTTCTGGTTGTTCAGGGTCTCCAGTTTGGTCTGCAGGGCCAGCAGCTCTGACTCTTTCTTAGACAGCTCCTGCTTCAGCTGGTCGATCTGTGGAGGGGAGACACACACAGAACAGGGAGTATCACAACTAGCTCTTGTATGAAGTTGCCAGCTAACTAGTATGATTATGGCAGGTGTGTGTGTGTATATGTGTGTGTGTGTGTGTGTGTGTGTGTGTGTGTGTGTGTGTGTGTGTGTGTGTGTGTGTGTGTGTGTGCGTGCGTGTCTATTAGGTGTCTGAGTATGACTGTACTCGGTGTGTTTTGTGCAGTGGACATTGGACAGAACATCCTCTCATCGAAACAGAGGGACAGTTTATCCACTGTGTTCATTCCAGCGAGGCTCTCCTCTCATTAAAGATGCATTTTGGACTGACTCCCCTGCATTATTCATGTGTTATACATCAGCCCTATCTATGATTGATGAATAATGGTCTAAAAATACAACAACAAACCCCCTGCTGGTTTCAGCCTCACATGGGTAATGTGCGTGTGGAGTTGGATGTGTCACACAGACACAATTCTACAGATAGGCTAGAGGCTAGCCACCACCCTGGGGACGACATGCCCCTTGACATGGTCAGACGCCACAGACAGACAGATAGAGGGCTCGAAAGACAGACAGACAGACAAGCAGGCTGGCGGATGGAGGGACGGACGGACAGACAGACGGACGGGGGGACAGACAGATAGGCGGGCTGGCGGACGGACGGAGGGACGGACAGACGGACAGACAGACAAGGTGGCATGGAGGCAGACATACAGACAGGAAGGCTTAGAGGGAGGCTGGGAACTTAACCTGACTGTGAGACAGCTGATGACAGACTGTTTAATATGACTGAGCAAATCAAAGCTGGACCAACTGGATAAGATGTGATAAGATAAGCGTTGATGAGGAAATTAAACGTAACCAGAGTTTGTTACAGTGGGTTCCAACGGTAATGCTCTACTATCGGTCATGCTAGATGGATACAAACATATTGACAAGGCTTCGGAGGTGATCATAAAATAGAGAATTTAATAACATAGGAATGGTGTTGTAAGTCGCTCTGGATAAGAGCGTCTGCTAAATGATGTAAATGTGTTCTTTATTGTCTTCCTCTGCTAAGTGTACAGTCAGTAACAAATCAACAAGTAAGCATCTCCCAGTCAGATAGCTGCCAGCGAAGCACTCCCCTGATGAAATCAGTTCATTTAATACTAAAGCTAGCTTATTTACTGTCAGCCAGACAGTCAGCTCTGTTCTGTTCTGTTCACTTTGAACCTGCACAGCAAAATCGAGATTGTGAGTGATTGTGTTTGGCACATCATACAGAACTACAGTAAGTGCATGTGGTGTTTTTTCCTGTATATTTGTGTGTACCTTGGTCTTCATAAACTTGGAGTGGTTCTTGTAGACCTCCATCTGTTTGATCTCCTCCTCTCTGTCCTCGGTGTTCAGCAAGCCGTTAGCCTTCAGTATCTGGATCTCATCCTCCAGGTCCCTGATGTTACGCTCCAGAGACGCTATCTTGGTGTCCTGGACAACACACACACACACACCAGCTGTAAGACACTATCTTGGTGTCCTAGACAACACACACACACACACACACACACACACACACACACCACACACACACACACACACACACACACACACACACACACACACACACACACACCAGCTGTAAGATGCTATCTTGGTGTCCTAGACAACACACACACACCAGCTGTAAGATGCTATCTTGGTGTCCTAGACAACACACACACACACCAGCTGTAAGATGCTATATTGGTGTCCTAGAAACACACACACACACAAACAACACAC